TAGTATAGACCAGAACCTTCGGGTATTCAACACGAGTATAGTATAGACCAGAACCTTCGGGTATTTAACACGAGTATAGTATAGACCAGAACCTTCGGGTATTCAACACGAGTATAGTATTCAACAGAACCTTCAGATATTCAACACCAGTATAGTATTCAACAGGAATTGGGCGGTATTCATCACGAGTATAGTATTCAACAGAACTTTTGGGTGTAGTATTCAGCAGAATACATGTGAATGAATACATAACAAGTAGAAAAAGGAGATATTTGGAATTYTTTGCCCAATTAAAATTCTCCATCGAAGAAAAAACTACATGAATTGTTATCCGCCATGTTGAAATTATTTTCAGCAGAGCCGTCTCTATGTGTGAAGTATGTTCTGACCCTCGAATAGATTCCTCCAATCACGAAGCTATGCAGCTTTTAGCATAAACTACTTAAGATGTCATGATCATTGGCACGCGACAGCAACTGTCCAAGCAATCAATTGAGCAGCTCACTGTTGGCAATTCTTCAATCAAGCCCTMATCTTCTGTCAGGAATCTTGGAACTATCTTTGACAATAACTTATCTTTAGACAAGCAGATAGCAAGCACATGCAAATCTTCTTTTTATTATCTATATAACATTAGGAAAATCAGGAAATTCCTATCTCCTGATTCTTGCGCCACTCWAGTCAATGCTTTYATAACTTGCCGCATAGCTTACTGTAATAGCTYATACTATGGGCTACCTGTTTATCAAGTAGCTAAACTGCAACGCATACAGAATGCTGCCGCTCGTTTAGTGTCTTTAACTCCACGCTTTTCGCATATTACTCCTGTCTTGGCTGATCGCCACTGGCTACCAGTGAGATTTAGAATACGTCTTAAGATACTTATTTTCGCTTTTAAGGCTATTCATGGTCTCGCTCCTAGTTACTTATCTGATTTAATTTCTATCAAAAAGCAGTCTGGTTATCGTCTTAGGTCCAATAATGAGCTTTTATTAGCACCTCCACCGACTAAACTTCGACCTACTCTTGGTGGTAGGACTTTTTCATACGCTGCGCCAGTAGAATGGAACACTTTACCATCTAGTATTAGGCATATTACATCATTACCTTCTTTTAAAGAACACTTAAAGACATATTTTTATAGAAAAGCCTTTATTCAGTTGTTTTTGCAATTCCCATTGATTAACWTAGCTTTTATGTTTCTAGTTATTGTGTATTGTTTCTGTATTCAGCGCAGATGAACATCTTGTGCTAATCTGCGCTTTATAAATGTAATTTATTTATTATTTATTTATGTCGGCGCTTACGCGGCTATTTGAACCAATCAGCATCGGGATAGAAACGGCTGCTACCAGAACCTCCGACGTGTAGGAACCAAGCCGAGGAGGCAAAATTTTAGATAAGAACGATGTTACAATAAAAAGAAACAATAGCAAAATAATAAATAGATTGATGAAATTAGCTGTTTTTGTATACACTCAATTGAAGAATCGTTGTCGGGTTCAGAAACATAGAACATAGAAGCTGAGACCGAAATGGCACATGGGAAGTACGTTAATTAGATGCATGCTGTGACCGGTGACCCGTGGCATCATCCACTGTTTTTAATACACGTTTGGCATTCTAAACCGACTGCATGGATGGCGCAAATGAATAAATTATAATATAATTATGTCATTTCCCATGTACCATTTCGGTCTCAGCTTTTATATTCTATGTTTCTGAACCCGACAACGATTCTTCAATCGAGTGTGCAAGGCAAAGGAATATCAAAATTATCAGTCAATACAATATACCTTCAAAACAGTGAAACAATTACTCCCGTTTTTCTTACGAAATAATTCTAATTAAAATGCCTATTTGTTCTTTTTCTGTAAAAAACGTTCTTGTAATTAGCTCTTAGTTGTATCTGTATATTTTATAAAGAACAAGACTAGTTGTTTATCATGATTCTAAACGAGTTTCAGATGAAATATGTAAAAATAGGAGGAAAACAACAGAAGTCGATCGACCTTTTGGTTTTACACTATTTTTGAAAATTGTTTCAGCGAAAGCAACACTTGGAGTTCCACTTTTGTGTGTGTGCTTTTTACACTTGTATCAGGACCAAAAACAAACACACACGTAGTTAAAGACACGTAGAGATTAAAGTATGTTTTTACACTTGCATCAGGACCAAAGACAAACACACACGTAGTTGAAGACATGTAGAGATTAAAGAACTCTTTATTAAATGTTTTCACACCAGCCGTGGTATATGCATATCATTGAACTCTTAACACCTTGTACCGAGKTTGTCACCAGGTCAAGATCTGAAAAAGACCTCATCATTTGATTTACAAAAGAGTTTTGAAGCGTATATATAAGAAAAGTAACAAGAGCTAGTAGCCATATACTGTCGTTATRTTCCACAGCTGGTGAAAACATTATGCTCAGTGGGTGCCTAACTTACGTTGAAAAAGGGGAAGTTATTATTAGTGCATCTTGACATGCGGCCGGGAACTTAATTTTACAAAGACGTTTCAAATAAGACGTCTCACTCATGTTCATTATTCAAATTGACTTCCAACTTAGTAAGAGAATTATATAAAGGGTCTAAGACGCGACAGAGTTGAATTTGTGAGGTTGAMACAAGAGGTACGTAAAGCATGAAGGTTCACACACGGATAGTTGCTGCAGTTTTCATGTTCATGTTACTGGTACACCAAGGACAACAAGCTAATCAAGTCGTACGGGTAATTGTAGATTACTATTTTGTTTTTCTAGTAATCTTTATGATTTGGAATATTTGCAAGGAGCGCTGAATATTAATTTATAGCAAGCATGCTAAAGTCCACATTTAGTGTGTTTCACGAATGCTCAGGTATGGGCGGGAGGGGCGTGATGCAGTCATTCTCACAAGGTCTTACAACTCAATGCATTTGAATTCTATGAGTATTTTTGTCATGCTATGTGTTCTCGCTAATAATATATAATTTGTAATGTATACCTGTTCACTTCATATACTGTTTGCTTTTTTGACAAGGCTTATAGTCATGTTGCTGTTTATTTGTTCCTTTGTTGTTAACTCATTCGTTCGTTTCGTTTCGCTTCGTCTCGTTTGCTTGTTTGTTTACTCAATTCATCGGCTTCTTGTAATTGTTACCTTTTCTTAGCATATGGGGAAACGCAACACTCGCAAGCCTTCCTTCGGTGATAGCGAGTCGAAAAGAATGAAGTCTAGGATGTTCAGGCCAAGATCAATGGACTACATTTGTGAAGTAGCTACAGCGATTGGATGTCCAGCTCCATGGACAAGTAAACGATATTACCGATAAATATTTCTATAAGGCACTTGTTGTTAAAGAAACAGACTTTGAGGAGTTAACATGTATTAAATATTGTATCTGTAAATAGCTATTACTATCRAATAATGTTATCATTATTAAAGATAGCGACTAGCATGGTGTAACCTGTGTTAATATGACCGTCAACACGAGTAAAAGACGTCTCCGCATGCTCTAAGTGCGTACGCAAATTGATCGAAACGTCTTCATGCTGTAACGTAAAAATATGTAATTTTGACTTTCAAACTTGCCTGACAATTGAATTTCACAAAATTCCAAAGCTTAGGCTAATTCCAGAAAAGGGTCCAGGGTTATCCCATGATGCATTGCGCTTCAATGTATATTATCGGTTTGAACGTGACGTCATCACTCCTACTCGGCGTTCGAACAGGAAAGAGTAATAGCGGCTTTCCGCAGCATTCGCCAAAACAAGTTTACTTCTTWAAAAAATTCTTATTATATATTCATTGTCTTTCGAAGGACGATTTTACTATATCTATAGTCGTAGTAGATTGTGTCGTCAAACTCATGTAAGTTTTGTGGATAGAAATGAGCGAGAGACGTTTAGATTTGGTTCCTTCACACATTGATGGACGTTCTGTTGATGTTACGCTTTTGTCAGAGTGGATGCTACTAACTACATAACTACAGGAGTACTTTTTATCTTTTATATAATTACCAATGAAATATCTATTTTTCTCTATTTCGAAAAGTTGATATCTTCACACGTGAAAATAACATGTTATTTTCACGTGTGAAGATAACACCATTGCGATGGCTATTCAAAAATACACGGAAAAAACTGCCTGAAAAAGCCAAAACATACTTCATTGATAATTATATAATAAACAGAATATTACATGGCCGCTTGGCGATAGGAATTTTATCTTCTCGTGTTGCTCGAAGATAAAATTCGTAACTCCGCGCGCCCATGTAATATCCTCTATTTATTTTTTATTGAGTTCGAACATTCGCCTACTTGGAAGAGTGAACTTGATAGAAAATACTTGATTCAATTCCCTATTATAACTACTAGTTTTGAACAATAGTTATGGAAATCAGGTCATACAGCTGTTCGAAGCGAGCGACAATGAAAGTGATATTTTGCTGAAAAATAACAAAAACAAAATGGCCAGTTAAATGAGAAATTGGACAAAAATAAAAATTAACGTGCAATAAAAAAACAACTTTCTTTCCTTTACAATGAARCAAGACGGCATAGACTCAACAAGTCTCACGATGGTTGAAAATCCGGATACAACCGTCCACACGTATCCGTATTCGGAGCGTATTCGCAAATTTCCACTCTGGAGACCGTTTTCGAAAATTTCCGGATACGGATAAACAAATTTCCGGATACGTGTGGGCCGGGGCCTTACACTCTTCTAAATTCATAGAAAACGCATGCGCAAATGTTTTTCTCTAGTATAGTCCACAGACTAAGAGAAGACTTTCTTTGACACCTTATTATTTGGAGACCTAAAGAAATGCGGGCTCAGTATACATAAATARCCGTGTCTATCACGATTACGCATGCTCAGAACACTAAATCACATGGTTTAGTTAGAGAACTAACGACCCATGTCGTGTTTGATTCTTCCCAAACCCAGACCCTTTCCCGCCCCATACCCTCCGTCAAGAAACGAAGGGCACTAGGCAAAGGATTGAACCATAGCTGATTTTGGTTGCGACTTAAATGTTTTAGCGGTTTTCTGTTGTAGTTTTAAGACTGACTTACTGTTTGTTTATTCAGTGTTTGTGTGTTTTGTTCTACTACAAATCTGCTTATTCTTGCTTTAATTCATTTAAAGCTCCCTTTTGTTGCCCCTTTGGTTTTCTGACTTATTAACTTTAATTTGCCTTCATTTGCAGTTTACCATGAGGTTTAGCTTTTAAACTACTTATAATCACAGTAACTTGCATTCTTAACGAAAACGGATAAGCACAGTCAAAAGCCTACAGTTCTCAAATGAAGGGAAATAGAAAACGCGCGCGTGCCGTGTGCAGTCTTATAAAGTACGCGGGGGCTGGCAAACACAAGAGAAGTGTACATAACATTGGGACTGAGTTTCTTATATAGCGCATTTCAAATATCTCAATGCGCTTCACATTTATGACCAGTGGAGGACTTTACGGGCTGCATATTAAGGCGCTATTAGCAGCCGTGCAGCTTAAAATCATGAGTGATTTATTAGTACATTAGTGTTATGCCTCCAAATTGGGATAGGCTGTTGAACCGGGAGACAATCCCTTACTCTTATACGAATAATTCAACAGGTTCTATTATGTCCCCCATTTACTACAGGAGTGGAAGGGCTGGGAGCCAGGGCCTTTTATAAGATACAAATCACAATTATCATAATCACATCTTAGTTTCAAATGGGATTATGTTTGAAAGATTATTATATACAGCACTTTTGTAGTGAAATATCAGAACAAGATGGCTGCTTGTGAGAACCATTTCAAACATTGGATTATCTTTTCTAGTCTCTGYATACTGAAGTAATAGAAAACGCGCGCGCGTGCTGTGTGCAGTTAAAAAGGACGCTGGGGTTGGAAGAAAACGAGAAAAGTGTTAAGAGAAGTACGACGCGTAGCACAGCGAGTTTTCTATTTCTTTAAAAAATCAAACTACAATACCCTTTATTTGGGATAGCAATAACGCAGCTAAAAGTGCGCACGCGTGCTGTGAGCTTTCAAAACGCGCTCCCTCAAGTAATCAAAACGCGAGATTTATAACAAATATTTTATAATTTGCTTTAGAGTATATGTATGCATGCCATAGAAACATATTTATGAACAGTCCCCTTCACAGTTCCCCGCGCCAYCTTGAAAGGTAGCCGTGACTTTGCATCGAAGCGAGACAAACGGTGAGCTTGAAATGATAGAGACATGTGAATAATTGTACAACTTGTTAAAAAAGGTCTCTATCATTGCAAGCTCACCGTTCGTCTCGATTCGATGCAAAAGGCACGGCTACCTTTCAAGATAGCGCAGGGAAGTGTGAAGGGGACTATTAAATGTTTAGGATTATGGCTCTGCTTGGCAATTTTATACTTCCATCTAAGCTCCATGAAATGTGCAGCTCTGACGTCTAACCTCGCGCTGCAGTTTGAAGTCTGAAGTAAAATGTCTTAGCCACAATTTTAATTAATGTCTTTAGTTTTTGATATTTTGGCTGCTAGGTCTCTAGTTACAAATTCCCTGAAGGATGGGAGAATAGGACACTTCGTCCCCTGCTATAGCATGCACACCCAACAAACCCTGTAAGGATGACAAAAARAGAAATCCTCATATCCAGTGGGTGAGGGAAATAAAGACAAATGGAAAGGGAGAAAAAGTGAGAGAAAAAAGAAATAGAAAGAAATAAAGGAATTAATTCAACATGGAACACTTATTGGCATCAAACCACTAAACAAATGGATCTAATAACATGAAACGACATGAAAACCATTTTACCGGGGTTTTTCTGTTTTTGTTTTTGTTTTTTGTTTTTTGTTTTTTTTTTTGTTTTTTGTTTTTTGTCATTTCTATACTGAGCCTTTTCTTTCTCTTTTCTTGTTAATCTCCTTCGTTTCTCTGTGTTTTCGTTGTTCACTTGCTGTTGTTGTCTTTAGGCCAAACGAACTGGCGCTAAGCAAGGGTTTGATGCCCAAAGTCAAATWAACAGACCTCTTTACCTTGGGCGTCATTTTTYCYCATTTCAGACCACGTGTCAAWTCTTGAGAATGAGATTCTTTGTTAGAAGGGTATCCATATTCATATGTCTTGTTATACATAACTKTTGAACAAACAATGATACTMTAGAAAATGACACCTGGTCTGAAATGGTAACATCTTATGTCAAAGATAGAGGATGTGGATGCGGGTACCCGATTAGTTATCAGTTAACCAACTGATTTTTTTGGCCATTTATCAGCTAACTACGATTTTTTGGCCAATTGTCAGTTAACTGTAAACCCCGCCCACAAACCCCGCGCACAACCTCAAGGTCAAGAGGTCTACTGAAAATGTCAACGAATTGAGTCAATGGCCGTTTTATAACAGATATCAAAGCAAAGAGAAAAGTAAATATTAAAACACCATGACAGATGTTGATGCCGGAAATGATAAACTGAAATGTCTATTGATTACTTACCAGATCCTCTTTTAAAACTGAGTGCAATACGCCAGTTTCGTATTTGATACTCACCGCTGCTTTGGAAGATCTGACGGACTAATCGACAGTAAAGGTGTAGCCTCGTCTATAAGTCAGCTATTCTCAATTAAATCATAGTATTTCCTGTGGTACTCGTCTTTTGAACTCATGCAAGCCTGTACACGATTTCCAATTACCTTTCTGACTGGTTTAATGGCGAAGCGTACAAGTACGTTATTATATACTTTTCCAGTTCATGTTACCGCTAAACTGCACCCCTCCATTATCAAACGCTATCCGGCAATCATTAATGATTGGCAGAAAAGAGACATACACTAATTAGTTCATAACTGTCTTATCCAACGTAGCTGAATATCGAAAGTTCACTGTGCGCCTGAGCTCTCCGGTAGCTTTGTCACTGCAGAATCAACGATCGATAGTTTGAGTAACATTTTGACGCTTGCGGTTCCATATGTTATGCATGGAGAGCATTTTAAATGAACTYATTCATCAAACATTTTCTAATCATTCCGAATCGTTTTCTGCGAACAGCGAAAAAAAGTTTGACTAACAACCTTTCTGTTTTGGAAGRATTTTTCATTGCCGATTGAAAAAAGATGCTGCTTATTAACAAGAGATGCTGTTGTATTTTGGGTATCTTGCTGGCCATTAATTGAGAATTATTTTCAACCTACTGTATGACCTAGTTTTGTAGGATTGGTAAAATAGGTTAGAAAAATGATTACCAATAGTGAAAGTTTTGGTAGTTCGTGARAATTTCTTTCAGGCTGGGAAAGAAATATATAGCCATGCAGGTAATAAGCATAACGCTTTGACAAACTCGATTACTATGGAATTATTTCTTAYCTCAGTAACCGTTAGCAATCAGTCACTATATAAACAACGTTAATTCGGATCTGGCAGCAATTTTTTGTGGAATCCCTCAAGGCTCAGTACTCAGACCACCCTTATTTCTGGACTCTA